ATTTAAAGTGCTAAAATATTCAAGAAAATGATATGATATATAATATTCGCAAATAAAATTTAGGGCTTAAAATGTCAGTTTAAGTTATATAAAGTGATTGTCATTCGCATCAGGAATGTTTATCCCTCACTTTCTTCTTTGAGACGAGAAGATTTTTTAAGTCCCCCAATAATGAGTAAGAACATGCCCCTTTAAGCATCCAATACTCTCAGATTCCCCTATCATTCCTTTGTGCACATGGTAGAATGAGACATAACCAAATTATAAGCTTATCCATTTCCCTTTTTTAAGTCCCCCAATAATGAGTAAGAACATGCTCCTTTAAGCATCCAATACTCTCAGATTCCCCTGTCATTCCTTTGTGCACGTGGTAGAATGAGACATAACCAAATTATGTCCATTTCCCAATGCTATCAAAGACTGTCACACACAAATTAAAAGAGAATTTCCATGACTCTTGTTGCTTGCAGACCCTATGGGGTATCAGCAATCAAAAAAACCTTCCAGAAACCTTTAAATCTATTGATTGCAGTGCTTTGTTTTACTATGGTTGCAAAGATCAAAAAATTTCTATATGTGACATGGCACCAGAGTTAAGTTAGGGTTTTTCAAAATGCTGACATGCCGAGCTCAAGAGGTTCGCCATCACTGCTATAAATTGAGGTACATATTTAGTATAATAAATCCATGTTATTTTTATGCTTATTAATATTCATTAGTGATGTAGTTGCTTTTGAATTTAGTGACATCCATGCTGCATCAAGAAAATAGAAGTTTTAGGATCATTTTATAGCCATTGCAATGGCTATTGGCTATAGTATTCCACCCCGTATATAGGTCAACGTCAATATTTTTTGTGTGTAATGAACTTAATTAAACCATGATCTTAGGAAAGCTAGAAGCTGTGTAAAGACCATTTTATTTTACATTAAAAAGAAGTATAAATACAAATTAGATTCCACCACCCCCAGCTGTGTCTAGGCACCCCAGAAATGCATGCCATTGAGTGGAAGAAGCAAGAATGCTGAGCTGGAATAACACAGGACAGACACAGACCACAAGGACAGGCAGGTCATCAGGGTTATTTGCAAAGGGATGGAAATCACATTTCATGATTGTGAGCTTTTCCTATTTTTCAAAGGGGTGTAATCTCAGGGACTATGGCCTTCTTGGTAAATTGCAAGGACTCAACTTCAAGGTCTCTCTCTGAATTGTTTTATTCTAGAAATATATTAAATAAGGGCCGATTTTAGGAGAGTTTTAAGTTCTGTGATTACTCATAGTTTATGCTTACAACTTTATTTGAAATAAATCCAGTTTGATACCCTAGAGAAAAATTTTAGGTGAGATCATAATTCATTTTGTGTTCGTTAAGGACATCATAATATCCTCTAAAAACAATGCTCTTTTAACATATTTAAACTAAGAAATGCAGTCTCATTACAAGTAAGCACTGCCATATAGATGAGCCAATTACCTGTCAGTTATGTGGTTATGTAACTTGCATGAGATAACAATACAAAAATGACATAATTCATTTCCATTCAGATGCTGCCTACTTAATTTTCAACCTTTAAAATACAGAAGGTTGTAAAATGGTTTATACTCATAATAAATGAGGAAAATCCAATAACACATATGTATTCAAAGCAAATCTTGAAAAAACAATAAAACAAAATAAGTTATTTTAAATATTTTATGAATCAATGTATTTGATAATATTTGAATACTATAAAACTTGAATATAACAGAAGAGGTTATTCAACGCCAAATAGTTCCAAATGATAATTACCAGTACAGTATTCTTTCTAATGAGACTGGAATGAAAGGATAATTTTAATTGCAATAATGAAGGTTAATTTCCATCTTTCCTTGTGTTTACTCCCTTATTAAAAAGTGGTCCCCTTAGCCATGGCAGAGACATATTACATTTTCAATGCAAATGTATTAATCTGGATAAACTCTATATTAATTCTTGTACTGCACAGAGCTGTAATTTGGATTATAATTAATCTAAAGTGGCACTAGATTTAAATGACAATATAAATGAGGCATTAGGAGGCTTTTCTATTATGAATGAATATTCAACAAATACAACTTGCATATTGCCAAGTCTCATTTTGAAAGCTCCAGTCCTGGAGATTAATGTCCGCAACTCTGCACAACAGCTTACACAAACAGGGTCTTTCTAACACGTGTTAATTCCTTCCTGTCTCAAAAATTCAGTGCTCAAGTGGAGACACGCTGTTTTCCCATCTAACACACTAAGATAGTGATTAATTTTGCTCATATTTTTTGACATTTATAACTGACATAAGAAGAAAAACAATACATACATAAGTGGTTATTCAATCTTTAGCAATATTTACAAGGAAAAAAATCCATGTAATAGTTTTTTCACCTAATCAGATTCCATTTAGAAGGCAGAAAACTTGGTTAAAAGTTCATGCCAATTGTCAATAACAAGAATTGTCTTGAAGTCTGGGAGGTTTCAAAGCTAAATATTTGCATCTCAGTAATTTCTTTTAGTTGGTTTTAAAGTTTCATTTTTATCTGTTCAGATATACCTGGGGAGGCATTTCTGCAGGGATAAAATGGGTTTTAAGCAACTCCCCTTCCGCAATGCTTTGTGTCCTCTCCTGTGCTCCAGTCTTGTTCCAATGGTACCAGTAGGCACCTAAGAAGGGACAGCCACTCATCAGGCCATTAGGAAGTGATGAGCCCACAATTTATGCAGAGAAATGAACTTTACAGGTGGGGATGGAGTGCCTGTGTCTGAGGTGGTGTTCCAGGTAAGACTCCTCCCTCAATGTAAGATTGGAGCCATTTTTAAGAGATTACAGAATCCATCCTTCATAGGGTGTTAGATACTTAAAATCAAGCATAATGTCATGCACCTGAGTATCAGAGAGCATTCAGTGTAACACAAATGTGCTGTGTTTCACATGTTCTTCTGATGTCTGGGCGGGGGGGGGGGGGGGCGCACTCCTCTACAATCTCTGTCAGTATGACTGTGAGAGGGACACCACTGAACACAGGCAGGACCCTGCCCTTCCAGAAGCAAGCAGGCAAGCAGCGCGCCCTGATGAGGTCCATCCTCCAGAGGAATCAACTGACTACCTGGCTATTTCCAACTCTTCAAATGAGGTTTAGACAGCACTACCCTTGACCTTAACCAATTGCCAGGCACTTCAAACTCCTGGTCAGTAACCCCAAGAGCTGAGTTCCTAACACACAGCTATGGCATCTTTTTCACATTGCTTTCGGCTCAATACCAACCTCACATCTTCTTTGTTTAAGGCAAATTGGAATCATATGTTCACCACTAGATCCTCGGCGCAAATTGAAGTGGCGCTTTCCCACTGGACTCCTGAGAGCAATTTAGCAGCGAACGGCGTGGGGTGGGAGCAGGGAGGCCCTTGGAGTAATTTTTGAAGGGAATGCAAAACCAAGATACGCAGATGACTGAATTACAAATGTGGGATAATTCAGGCTTACATGGACTTGCACATGAAAATGGTATATATATCTTTTTGCACAACCCAATGTCTTCATAGTGAAAACGAGCTTCTTTATGGGAGGCTGTCACTAGAACTCAAGGAAAAGACAGATGACTACCTGAAGCTAATAGGCTCGAACCCGTTGCAGCAGTTCTCCTGCTTCAATGAGCCCAACATAATAAAACTAGGTACAGCGTGCAGCAAAGGTAGCCAATGTAATATTTATTCATCGCGACCGTAGATTTCCATCTCATACATACAAAGTATGGATGAAGTCATATATTTGCCAAATCAAACACAGGAAAAGCCTTAGGTATCCGCACCAGATGCTGGCCTAGGGTTTGTTTGTGCACAAGTAAATGTCATGACATGAAGGTTTGTTTTCCGAGACAGTAGCTTTCATTACTGGGATTTGTCTATTCTAGAAGATCAAAATTACCCAGCATCTAATCCCTTTTCAATGATATTTCCTCTTTCTTAGGCTGAATCATCTGTAAACTTTTTTCACTGGATTTTGTTTGAAATGCTTCAAATAGATGCCCTTAAAAAGGGCAAATTCCTGAGTGTACATTGTAAAAAAAAAGCAAGGAAAAATAACATTTATTTTTAGGGTTACGTGGTTGGTGTGTGTGTGTGTGGGGGGGGGTATCTGTGATTGAATGAAAAAATCCAAGTGATATCTAATCCTGTGCTTATGAAAAATTAATATGCCATCAGAGGAATCACAAGTATAGCTAAGATTAATGAAAGGCGCTTAAAAAATTACAAGCACACAAACTGATTTGATTAAAAAATAATCTCGCTGGTCGTCCTGTAATATTCTTCAACTTACCCACATCTATTCTGTCAGATGGTTATGATTAAAAATAGGTCAATGGGAGGCTACTGATAGAAGTCACATGCAAAATGCGCATGCGATGGATAGTAGTGGAAATGTTAGACAGTTTCAAATGAATAAAAGCTTTTAATAAGTGTGGGGATGGGGTGAAGGCAGGGCTGATTTGGGGTGTGGGGTGGGGGAAAAAAGGGGCAAGGGTTTAGCATCTTACCGGGGTCTTTACTGGCGGAGTTTTTGCCTTCACCAGGGTCTCTCTCATTTGTGTCTTTCTCATCCTCCTCAGCCACCGGTGTCGGCTTAAGAGGTCCTTCTGCCTCCTCACTTGGTTCTTCTGTTCAGAAAGGCAGACTGGTCAGTAGGATTGGACCCCCCCCCCAAATGCACACTCAAATAATTACGTGACCATTTACAAACTTGGTCACCTATGAACCATCTGCAGACACCCATTCTCAAAAGAGGACATACATTTATTCAAAACCTCAGAACCTGATGATGGTACCATTGCAAATGTTTATCTCAAGCAACTTCTTTTATATCCACTGAGCACATGGGCCTGTACTAAAAGAGAAGAAATCACTTTAAGCACAGGTGCAGCCAGGAAAGCTGGAAACATGGGTGGGAGGCAGTTCTGTCATAATAGAAGCTTCTACATCACATGGACCCCCTGTTCCATGGACTTGGGTTGATGGCAGAACAAACCAAATCCCTAGAAAAAAATCCTCCATGAAAGGATGGGACAATGATGGGTTAACTATAAGACAGGTGTTCCTCCTGCCTTCAGTCCCCGGACCCCAGAGGAATTCTTTGGAATTCATCTGAGTAGGATCTCAAAAGTTCAGTTGCACTGGGATTTGTTTTTCTCTATAGGGGGAGCTATACAGGGTGCAGGACATAAGAAGGTCTATTTCTTCTATGACAACCACATCACCCCACACCTCATTCACGGGTTCACACCAGCTAGATTACATGGAAATCCTCATAGTAACTCAACCCTATTTAATTATTCTGTAAATCTGAGGTGTGCTGCTGCCGGTGGGTTAATCTGTTTATGCAGTTAGCCTCCGTGCTGGATCTGGGCAGCACTAATCCGTGAACGGCCCACTGTTCTCCTCTAGCCTGTGATCATTTGTCTCTCACTGTGCTGATGTCACATTTTAATGAATTTTTAGCAATCCGAGTCATGCCAGATAGCCAGACTTGCACCTCCCCGCAGCAGGGCATGCTGTTTTCACGGCAGCACAAAATAATAAAAAATAAAAATCATATTCCCTCGTCCAGGTAGGAATTACAGACATGAGGAGGAGGAGGTAAAATGGGATTTGAAGCACCAGGCTGCTCAATTTCATAAAATCTTTAATGACCAAATAAATTAACCCTGGAAAGGCAAAAGGTCGCTGCCACATATGCATACACGTGTCTATTTGCTTTTGATAAGCAGAGCTTTTATGCGGAGAACATGATACAATTAACCCTTCAATAACCATACAAAACGCTGCTACGGACATTTTAAGTGTCAAGCATTAACCGAAAATTACACACTGCATAAAATTTTCATTGCAAATGCTGTAGTGATTGAAAGGGGGAATCGCGGCCCTCTCCACACCCCATGTTTTATTAATAACATTCTGACAGAATGAAATATCCACCGTCATGTGTAGCAGCTGAGCACACACACAGAATGCTATTGAGTGTCTCCCTTGCCCACGCCGCTCTCTACCGTGAGAGCAGGACCCAGCACAGGGGACGGTGCTGGGCTCAGGTGGGGCAGCTCCACAGCTAAGGGAAAGCATGGCCAGGCGATACATCTGCAGTAAGGGTTTGCTTCCACTGTGCGTCCTCAACAGCCCCCACAAGTCCATTGACTCTAGGTCTGCACTGTGGAGGAGTTCCTGGTGGAGGAGTCAGGCGTCTGAGGCTTTGGGGGGAGTGTCCCTTTCAGGCAAATCACGTGGAGATTGTACTTTAGGAAGAGAGAACGATGCTTGTTAGGGCTCCGGCCTGCTTTCCCCAGCCATGATCGTCACTGATCAAACCCAGGCTCCTGGCCCTGCATGAGGCCAGGCTGAGAGGGGACAGCGGCTGGCTTGGTGAGGGAGGGAGGGTGGAAGGCGGAGATCATGACCAGATTGGGCTGTGTCCCTGCCAAGTCCACACACGTGACGTGACACCCGGTGGCAGGCCTCGACCTGTGACAGCCCACGGCAATTACTCTCCGGCTCGTCCTGGGGAAGGGAGGCCAGACTTCTTTGAGTAGATTTACTGAACCCTTCCCCCAGGGCTGGAAAATGAAGTGTCACCGTGGTCCCGGTGTCCTTATCTTGAGGGGACATAAAATTGTAAGGGCTATCGCAACTCCCATTAATAAAACATGGGGTGTCAGGAGGAGAGGACGAAAATTATGAAGGTACTCCAAGAAAAACTACAGTGTAATCTGGGTCTCATCGCATGCTTTGCGCAGGGGCCGATTCTTCATTTTCTCGTATGCGTTTTAAGGGCGAGAGAAATTCCCAGACATGTTCCTCTATACATCACCGTGGTGTCTGACCTCCGCCTGACCCTGGCCGCAGTTTGAGAAATCTGAATGTGAACAAAGCCTGTGTCAGCAGCACGGAGCGACCGCCATCAACTTAATCGCAAACAGCAGTGCTGAGGCCATAACTTGGGCCGGCTCGTCCAAGCCACAGCGCAGACCCTCCGGAGCTGGCTCTGCCCGCACAGCCTCTGCCGCTGGACGCTGCCCCCCCCTCTCCTGGCTCTGCCTTTGAAGTCGGCGGGCAATTAGCTCTAATGCTCCAGCAATTCAGACCTGTTTTGTGGTTTCGAAGGCGAGAGCTGTTTATTACAGGTGGGCGCTTTGGAGCCGTAGAACTCTGCAAATTTGTAATCATGCAAAAAATAATCAAAGGGTAACTTATATCCACCACCATAAAGTTTCATACGAGTCTAAAAAAAAAAAAGGCTCACTTTGGTTCTTAGAGTTTTTGAAATGAAGTTGACATTCGCTTTATAAATAGACTTTAGAGTTGGGAGGATTAATGTGGAGAAACCACTCTCTCCCTAGGAAAGCGGTACGTTGGCGTTGGGGTTGCGGGAGGAGTGGCTGAGTTCTGATTCTCAAGTAGCAGCTTCCTCCATGTAAAATGCCATCAAGTGTATAAGATGCGTTGTAGGAAACGAACCAAAAAAACCCAAAAATATATATGTGACATTAAATGTGCTCAAGGGATGCGTTAGAACCGAGGGAAATGACATAAATTCAATTATGTAAAATTCCAAAATGAAGATACTAACTTAGAGAAAATTCCCAAAGATGCTAATGCAGTTGTCATTTTCACCAATAAGTTTCTTCACTAATATAGTACATGTAATCCTAATGAAGGTATTATAACATTTCATAATACTGTTGCTTTCACAGCATATATATCTTTATCCTTTTGCTTCATGTAATATAAAAACACAGTATTTCTTTATATATTAAACTTTAAGATATGAATGTAGTTAAGCTTAAAATGAACACAGGAGTCCATTAGGACTTCCCAGTTTTCAGACAAATAGTATACATTTTTATTTTTAAATGTTCCGAAGTAATACTATAGTCTTACAGAAGTTCAGTACAATTAATTTCCCGTAGCATTTTTGTCATGGATAAAACCATCTTATAAAAGTTATTTTGTATATACACATAAACTATTTTTAAAAGAAATGTTTTGAATGACTAGCTCAGAGTATTTTCATTTGAATAATGAAAATGATTAGAAAATCTCAATTTATTCTATAAAATCATAATACACATTTTGAAGCATGTCTACGCCGGGGATACACTGCTGATCTAGGAGCCAGCCAACTGCCCTGGCTCCCGGGCTTTCTCCCACAGCGGGCTTGGGGACCTTCTCTCTGAGTCCTCGAAGGCAGCGGTTGCCAACCGTAGGTCCCTGAGGTCCGAAAGGTTGGAGACCGCTGCTCTAAGGAAAGCATTGCACACTTTTTAGCCCATGAAGTAATCATATAAAGAGGAAGCAGAGGATAGTGAGTAACTTAAATATCTTTAGTTTTATATACTGAGCAACTCTTCAAAGCACCTGGCTTGTAAGAATTCTTCCCTGGACGCCTGCACTCTCTCCCTGACCAGTCCCACCACCAACCTCCAAATCTACCCAAGTATGAGCTACTTCAACCTACTAAAATCTTTTAGTGACTCACTAGCAAAAGTTCAATCTTCTGTGCATGGAAAGAATACCTCTGAGATACCTGGTCCTTGTCCACCAGTCCAGTCTCATTTTTTTTTCCACTGCCTACCTAACACTTAATGCTTAAAACAACAAACAAACAACCCTGTGGGTGTGGCCCAGTTGGCTGAGCACTGTGCTGTGTACCAGGTCACAGGTTCAATTTCTGGTCAGGGCAGTCCCCGGTGTAGGTGTGTGCAGGAGGCAACCAATTGATGTTTCTCTCTCATAGCACATCAATATTTCTTTCTCTCCCTCTCCCTTTCTCTTTCTCTAAAATCAATAAAAACATTTTTTAAATTGCATCATCAGAGACTTGCTAGACTCGTTAGAAATCAGGCTGTGTGCCCCACCCCTGGAATTTATAATTCAGGAGGTTTAGAGGGAGGCCTGGGAATTTACGTCTCTATGCTCCCAGGTGAACATGATGCTTCTAATCCAAGGACCACATTTCATGAACCACTATTCTAGAAACACGTGACTGTTATTAATATTGCCTTCCAGTACATATCATTATATTTCCCTGTCTTATCTAGGACAAATTTTCTATACTATATATACTTTTTTCCTTCAAGCCCAGCTTGGGAAATACCAGTTTCATCATCTGTGAAAAATGGAATTAACAATGCCTACCTCATTGGTTTGTTATAATATATAAAAATCCGTCAGCACATAGCCTAACAAACTAAGTGTTTCAAAATGCTGGTTGTGTTATTACTATTAATTATTTCTTTATCCAAAAAGTCTTACCTAAATCTGGAATTGGGATTAATGTTTCTGAATAAGATTTTCTTCTTTTTTCTCTACATGGATGTCAAACAACTTACCACAGTATTTGGAAATGATCCTAATAGCTACACATTTACTGAAAATAGTGATTATCTTATTGCTCCTTGTGCCAGAGCACCTGGAACAGTGCCTGGAATATAGTAGGCAGGCAATACAGATTTGTCGAAACACTAAATTGAATTTAGGATGCAAAATTAAAGAAGAGGAGGAGGCGTCCAGATGCTATGCCATTCTTCTATTCCCCTTCAATAAAACTCAAAAAGGATTATTTGTTTGTTTGGATTGGTGTCGGTCTGGTTTGGTTGTCCTTACATTTTCTCTTTCTACTAAAAGTGAATTCATTATCCAACCCTCCAGTCTGACTTCACACCAATTGTTCCTCTCAAAGCCACCGACAACTTCCAAGCTGTGAAATCCAGTGGCCATGAAGGTGTCTGCGCAGCAGATGTGATCACACCCTCCTCCTGGGGACCGCACCTGACAACCCTGCTTGAGCACTGTACCTCTCCTACTTCCTTGATCTCATTTACTACAATCTGCAAATAACTTGTTTATGTGTATAGACATGTTGTCCAAAAATCTTATTCAAGACTTATGCCCAGCAGTCACTGGCACTGATACTTTGAATGAAGTCGATGACTCCTAGCTTTCTTACGCAGGGTAACCAGGATGTTGTCCAAAAATCTTATTCAAGACTTATGCCAGCAGTCACTGGCACTGATACTTTGAGTGAAGTCGATGACTCCTAGCTTTCTTACTCAGGGTAACCAGTTCTATGGCATGATGTCATCAGTTAAAACGAAGAAAAAGAGGAGAAGAAATGGTTTTGCAGAAAAGAGAAGTTCAATTTGGAAATTTGTTATATTTGACTTCCCTATAGAACATCTCCATGGAAATAGGCAGAAGGCATGGGAACATCTAAATAAAAAGTTTCTCAGAGAGACTGAGTAAAGATGGAGATTTTGTAAACAAAGACAATAAATAAATATGTCAACAGGGAGTGGTATCCTTTTAGTTTGACAATTTTGGTCATAGCCTTGACTTTGCCCTATTATTTCCAATCAGGTCATTAATGAAATCTTTTCATTGATTTGAGGTGAGGAAGACAGATTGGGCTTGTGCTATTTTATCTTAAGTATGCTCTTTAGTTTTCTAGGGGAAAAATAACATGTAATAAAAAAGTTTTTATGAGAGACGCATAGGTGAAGGTAAACTCTGAATAATTTTTGACGGAAATCCTGACTTTATATTGCAGGAATGTTTTCACTTGCAAAACTGTTTTTGGGGTTTTTTTGTAAAGTATTTCAATACCCCATTATGAATGCAAAGGACTTTTTATAATCATTTTTTGTTCTATATAACACATTATTATTCCAATTGTATAAATCTGGGGACTGGGATCATGTTTATATAGCAGAAATAAATGAGGTGTGTTGTAGCAACATGGGTGAGTTTCCTCTTAAATTATCTGAATATAATGCAGCTAACAAGGCCTGGCTGCCATTTTTTAACATACACATATACACACAAAGCACAGGGAATAGTAAATGTGTTGACATGGCTACACAAAATCCAATCAACCCATTGACTGCCAAAAATAACTCCACCAACCAGGTTTTTTTAATTGCGTAAAAATAATATCTGGCTTTCTGGCTTATCCTTTGTATAAAATTGACCACTTCAGTGAAACTTCACAGTGTACACATGCAGATGTGAGAAATTATCCAGCAGATGTTACTCATTCTTTAAAAAAAAATGTCACTTTACATAGGCATCCAAATATACAGATATATTTGCTTTTGCTATTAACTTGTTTCTATAAGGGGTCTGATTGAATCTAATTGGAGCAGTTCCAGAGATCTGTGCACTGCATAAATGATGAGAGTAACAACTGTAGGACAGACAGACATGCTTTTGAGAAGGAACAGACCAATTACCTGAGGTCACTCTCAGCTGCTGTTCCGACAGGTCATCCTCACAGGTCCTGGCTCCCAAAGAGGCAGATTCTGCAGAGAACATGGGAGCGAAAGGTGGTCAGCTCTGCAGTCACAGCCAACAGCACAAGAACCCCATTTGGCTTTCAATGAGATAACTATGTGGTGGGGCGCAGGGGAGTCTTAGGATCATCTTACATCCTAGTGAGCAGTGGTTAGCAAGATGAGTCAGACAGGGGTGCCCTGAGATTGAATTTCCAATGATGGGCAGTGCACAACGAACACCACGATGTAGTCCAAATATAGAAGCAGGAAAGGCTCATTGTGACTTGGGTCTCTGGCTAAGTCTACATTATAGTGGCCATGGCACAGGACATAAATTATAAGCATGCTTTTACTTCTCTGTCAAAGTAGCAAAAAACAACAACAGTGACAACAACAAACACCCTCAATATATGGTAGCTGCTGTGAGGCCAAAGCTGGGAACAATCACTTCAGGAAATGCCCAAGTCATCAATAAACGCAATAGGAGCCCCTGCTCTTTTATTGGCGCTCCACAGCACAAGGCCAGCGATGGCCTGGTTTGCTCAACTCAACCCCAAACACAAATCATGATTGTCATCCAATTCCGTGCTTCCTTTATTCCCTATT